TATATACAGTATATGTATATATGTATGTATGTATATGTCAATTTTGGAGTTATAGCCCCCCCGGAGAAAACTCCACCAGCTGCCACTGCTTCAGTGCCTTCGATGTGTGTCCCATCGGTGTATGAATGTGATAAAGCTCTGATTAGTCTTTGTATACAGTAGATCTAGTAGAGTGCTGTATGAACGGGCAAATGTGGACACAGATTGTGTTGTAAAGTGCTTTGAGTACCTTGATAAGATAAAAAGGTGCTATATAAGTGCACTTCATTGACCATTTATGTGAATGTTTACAAATTATTTTATAAGTTCTGTATTTTCTAAAATTATATATGAGATTATAACACTACTTTGCTACTTGTCACTTTCTTTGCAACCAGTTTCTGTTTTCTAGGGTTTTTTTCTGCCTCTCTTCACTAGGTCAGTGTGCATCTCAGATCTGGTGTAGACAAAGCATATGCCAAGACTTTTGACCCCAGTGTTTACAGTTTGAAAGGATAAAACCTCTTGAGACAAGACAAAAAGGAACTTGTGTTACCTTAGCCGCCTGCCTCTAGTCTGAAGCTAACCCATCACTTTTATCAGACGTGAAATATGTGACCCATAAAAGACAAGTATCTGTCTCTGCATCAGATAATGCTGACAGCTGTCTGACACACTTCAATTTGTCTTCTTTATCCACAAGGGCCTCCATTCTTCTGGTAAGAATTCAGTTTTATGACTGCCATTACAAATTCTCAGGGTTAGTGACACACATCAATCACTTTGTTAAATTTGTGGTGTAGATCTGTTTTCTTTTCTTGACTTAAATCCAAATTCTGGTTATGATAGAACTTATACAAATAAATTAGATTTTCCTCTTGTGTTGACCAGTCACCTAAAAACTGGCAGTCAAAAATAAGCTGATAGCTTTATTTGTGCAAATACTTTTTGACATTTCAACATGCTGAAAAAGTATCCATGTGATTTTTAGTAAGTGACACATAAAGCAATAGTTCAGATCTTTAATGTGGGGGTTTGTGGAAAGGTTGGGACCAATTAACAATTTATCTCTTCATGAAAGCTCTTTGAAACACCACAATTACATAAAACAAAGTTTAATTCTGAGACAAAAGCTAATGGCTAGTTTACAACCAATCAAAAGAACCGGGATTAAATAAATCTGCCTAAAGTCATAACACTTACTTAAAAATTTAAATTAAAAGCTGCAATAATGAAACAGTTTTTATTTAAATTCTACATATAAAAAGTAGTTTGTTATATTCTGAAATTAAACTATTTTAACTATAACAAATAACTATTGCCATTTATCACTTTGTTTTGTGATCAGTTTTCTCCCATTTCCAAATCATATTTCAAATCAGTTTCAAAAACAACAACAAAAAAAATGATAGAAAAAATAATTACAAATACAAAACAGGTTGAGCAGAGTAAGTAAAGACAGTAGTTTAGTGAAAATATGTGGTCAGTTTTGTCCTCCAGCAGTCTAAGCATATAGCAGCATAACTAAGGGACAGCTCAGGAAACCCAAGTCAACTCTAACTATAGGATTTAGCAAAAAGGAAAGTCTTAATCCCAGTCTTAAAACTGGACAATGTGTCAGCCTCACGGACAGAAACTGGAAATTGGCTCCACAAGAGACGAGACTAAAGATCTTCCTCTCATTCTGCTTTTGGAAACTCTAGGAACCACAAGTAAACCTGCAGTCTGAGAGCGAAGTTCTCTGTTAGGAAACTATGGAACAATAATATCTTGAATATAAGATGTAGCTAGGTTGTTGAGAGCTTTGTAGGTTAGAAGTAGGATTTTGAATTCAATTCTGGATTTGACAGGGAGCCAATGGAGAGAAACTAAAACTGGAGAGACATGATCTCTCCCACTAACTCCAGTTAAGACTCTGGCAGCAGCACTTTGTATTAACTGAAGACATTTTAAAGAAGTTTGTGGACACCCAGATAACAAAGAATTGCAATAGTCCAGGTTTACTGTATCATTTTTGAACAAGATGATTCTAATCTTAGTGATATTACGAAAGTGCAGGAAAGCGGTTTTGGTAACATTTTTAATGTGGGGGATAAAA